GGGGAGAGTGAGAGGGTGGGGAGAGAGCAAGAGAGAGAGAGAGTGCGAGAGAGAGAGTCTCTCTATGTTGCTGTTTTCCCATCAGGACACGTTCAAGAATGCCTAATTTCAGAGGCAGATCAATTTATACCACAGCAGGTTGACTGCGATTGGTTTGAGGCTCCGAAGGTGCACCTGTTTACCCCCCCGACCCCCCGGGTCGAAGTGCCCTCACTCACCCAGCGGCTGCCCTGCGATGATCCTACCGTCCTCAGCAGCCACAGCTGTTCGGGCGGTCCTCTCGTTGGCGTACTGGACGAAGGCGTAGCCCTTGTGCACCGAGCAGCCTACAATCTTGCCATACTTGGCGAAGAGGACCTCCACGTCCGACTTCTTCACCACGGCCGTGTTGAGGTTGCCAATGAAGACCCGCGAGTTCAGCGAGCGCGGGTCGTTCTTGTTCGTGACATTGCTGGCCATCAGTTTGGCGGCCATGAGGCTGTCGTATCCCTGGTGGGCGGCGTTGGAGTGGGTGGGGGGGGGGGGGGGAAACGGGACAGGAAGGCAGGGAAGTGAAGGGTGGGGGAGGAAGGGGTTTAGAAAGAAAAAGGAGATTGAGCAATTGGTATAATTAGTTAACTCCTGCTCTAACTCCGGCCCATTGTCCGTTCCCACCCACTGCCTGAATTGTAAGGTGTCACCGCAAACGGACAAACCTTCCTGCTCTAAAACTCTCCACTTCTCTCTCTCCTCCTCCTCCTCAAGGCCTGCTCACTTACCCACCCTCATGCCTATAAACGTGGCCCTGTGACGGAGGTCACTCCTCAGGGTCAACTTACCCATGCTTGGCTGGCGTGTTCTCCCGTCTCCCACTGGCCCTGGTGCCACCCCAGGGTTGCAACGGGGGGACGGGGGGGGCAGGCTTAGCGTTCCCTCGTCGGCCTGCTCCCAGCGAACCCCGGGGACTTCCGTTCCCGGGCCTCCTGCGCTCGGGCGACTTGGGGCTGGGCCATACCCGCAGCCAAGCCCCCTAGCCTTTGGGTGAAGGTGGGCAGCCTTGGAGAAACCTAGCCCAGCCCTCTTTCCTCTCCCCACGACCCCCTGCATCTTAACTGCGCATGTAAACACATCACTCTGCAGCTACGCTGCCTCACCAACACAGCCTGCACCCCATCCATCAAATGGATGAGGCTATAATGGCAATGACAAGTTCATGTTGCAACGAAACCCCCAACCCCACCCCAAACTGCAAGAACATCATTCAACCCAAGCTTTAGTGGGAAGGTACAATGGCATGATCCACTTACATACACTTAAGATATTTCACAAGGCTACAGTCGGCTAGCGTTGCTAGTTACTTGGGCCTTTGGAAAGATGAGGCTGCCAGTCGTGGGAGTTTAGGAACGCGTGGGCAGACTTGCACTCACGCAGCACGCCACCGGCTCTCGGGTCCCCCCCGGAGCCACCGTCATTTCTCAGAAGGGCAGCCCAACAGAGAGTATCCGCCGGGAAGACGCCAAGGCCTCCAGTGCTTTTTTTTTTCCTCGTTGGTTCGGACCGGGAGGAACATTAGCTCAGGATGGCAGGAAGAATCCCCCTCCCCCACCCCGGTTGCTGGGTTTGCGTACACGTGTTAAAGTGCTGCACCGCGCGGCCTAACAGCGAAAGGGGCAGGGGAGCTGTTTTCACGCCCACCCAGAGGGTGGCACGCCTGGCACTGCGACACTCCCTCGCAACTGGCATCCCTTTCATAAATCCATGCTGACTCTGTTTTCCAAATAAACAGTGACTCCAGATCCACGGCGACGTGGTCGATTCTAATACGCCAGAAGTGACCTGATAGAATCCCTACAGTGTGGAAACAGGCCCTTCAGCCCAACAAGTCCACATCGACCCTCACAGCATACCCACCCAGACCCATCCACCTAATCTCCACATCCCTGAACACTATGGGCAATTTAGCACGGCCAATCCACCTAGCCTGCACATCTTTGGACTGCGGGAGGAAACTGGAGCACCCGGAGGAAACCCATGCAGACACGGCAGGATAATGTGCAAACTCCACACAGTCGCCCGAGGGTGGGATTGTACCCGGGTCCCTGGCGCCATGAGGCAGCAGTGCTAACCGCTGAGCCACCGTGCCGCCCTGTACCTCACCTACTGATTTGCCCCGATTGGCACCAGCCGTTAGACTGACCCACCCCCTGGCATTGCTGAGGAAGCATGTTAGGCAGACAGTGGCGAGGTACTAAGGAACCCCAAGCGCCGCTCTGGAAACACTGAGAGAGGTCAGTAAGACTGTGGTCCTGGCTGGATAACATCACAGCGAACGAGCAAGTGACTGGCCTTTCCTTTCTAGACCATTGCTCCATCCGACAAAAGGCTCGACAGACACCTATTTGGTGTGCCAACCACGTCTTCAGCGTGTTTGTCAAAAGCCACTGGCGCCAGGCAGTCTGGCAATAATGTGCACAGCGGGGTGACACTCATCGAAATTCTTGACGTGGTTTTGGTTAGGGGAAAATGCTACCCAGGACACCAAAGGGTTTAACATCTCAGAAGCAACGATATGGCCCCCTGTGCGTCCATGCTTGCTAGTGTCCCCACATAAACCTTCTGCACACGCTTCAGTCCATTACCACACTCCACCAATCAGTTTGTTCCTTCCCGTCTCATACATTTACACAGCTAGCTCCCTTTTAACTTTTTATGCTTTCTAGCTCAACCCCCTCTCTGTGGTAGAGAGTTCCAGACTGTCATCAATCCAGACGTTGAAATCCCAACTGGATTTATTCGTGGCATCTGCATTCACAATCTTTAGTGTCAGACCCTCCCTGTCAATACAAACTCCTTCTCTGTTATTTGGCAGAGTTTGTGTTCAAAATTTATCCCTTGATGGAATGTGGGCATTGCCAACATTTGCTGCTCAGCCCTAACTGTGCTGAGGGTCTCATTCGGCCATTTCGGGAGGTTGGGGTGCAGTTAAGACTCAACAACGTCGCTGCAGGTCTGGAGTCTCCTCACTGGGATAAACAGAGGCGGGATCAAACAGAATCAGCGTGGATTTACGAAAGGGAATTCAGGCTTGGCTAATCTACTGCAGCTTTCCAGGGATCGATACGGGGGAAACCAGTGGATGTGATTCACTTAGACTTTCTAAAGGTCCCCCGTAAGAGATGAGCACTTAAAATTAAAATGCACGAGACTGGGGGCGTAGTGTACTGATTATGGAGATTGGGTGGGAAGACAGACAGGAAAAAGCAGGAACAATCAAATCTTGTTTCGGGGAGGCGGCCAGTGACTAGTGGGGGACCCCAGGGATCAGTGCTTGGACCCCCAACTAGTCTCGATATATATATATCTATTAAAAATTGAGATCAGGGAATTCAATGAAACGTCTTCAAATTTGGAAATAACACAAAGCTGGGTGGGAGGGTGAACCATGAAGAGGATGCAGAGATGCTTCAGTGAGATTCAGACAGGCTGAGTGAGTGGGCAAATGAATGGCAGATGTAGTTTAATGTGGATAAATGTGAGGTTATACGCTTTCAGAGCACAAAAAATAAAGGAAGACTATCTCAGCGGGCACAGACTGGAAAAACGGGAGGTCCGACCAGACCAGCTCCTGAAAGTAAGCATACAAATACAACAGTCAGGGAAGGCAGATGTTTCGGCCTCCACTGCTTTCCGTGACAAATGGAATGATGGCCTTTATAGACCACACCTGGAGCACCGTGTGGAGTTTCGGTCTCCTTATCTGAGAAAAGATGCTCTGGCGATAGAGAGAATGCAGCGAAGGTTTCCCAGATTGATTCCTGGAATGGCAGGACTGACGTGTGAAGAGAGACTGGATCGGTCAGGAATATATTCACTGGGAGTTTAGAAGAATGAGGCGAGGGTGGGGGATCTCACAGAAACCTATAAAATTCTAACAGGACGGGACTACACAGGGTAAACACGGGAAGGATGTTCCCCGATGACCGGTTTGAGCGGGAAGTCCAGAAACAGGAGGTCACAGTCTAAGGATACAGGGGTGGGGGGCATTTAGGATTTGAGATGAGGAGAAATGTCTTCGCCCAGAGAGTGGGTGAGCTTGTGGAGTTCTCTGCCACAGACAGCAGAGGAGGTTGAAACATCGAATGTTTTTGAGATGGGTGTTGGATATAGTTCTTAGGGTTAAAGGTTACAGAAGGAACAGGGGACCGAGTTGGATGATCAGCCACAATGGTATGGAATGCAGGAAGCAGGCCAAATGACCTACTCTTGCTCTGATTTAAGTTCGTGCGTCTGGGCCAGACTGGGTAAGGATGGGGTTTTCCACCCTGAAGGGAAATTAGTGAACCAGAACAGTTTTTACGACAATCAATGACCGTTTGTCATCACAGGGAGCATCTTTACGTTCCAGATTCGTGAATTAAATTCCACCAGCTACCGTGGGATCTGAACCCAGAGAATCACCCTAAGACTCTGGAATACCGCTCTAGTGGCATAACTACCAGGACACCACTTCCCGAACTGTCAGCAGTTGAAAGTCAACCTACAGATGCTGAGTTATGTGTAGGATAGTCTAATCACGAGTGAATCAAATGTGTTTTTATTTATATTGGTCATGGCTAGCTTTCAGTTCCTGAACTGAAACTCCCACCAGCTGCAGAGGGGACATCTGAAGCCAATGTCATTAGCGTGGCATTTCTAGGGCTGTTAGGCCAGCAGCAGGACTGCTCTCTCTAGGATCCGGGGGCTGAGGGGTTAGAAAGATAATTTTGGGGTCGACTTAAGTTCACGGCACCGTTCTAAGACACACAAACTCCCCCTCGCGCCAATTCATCCGGGAGCAGCCAAACACTTCAAAACAACACTCTTTCCTCCTGCAACGTAAATGGTCATGTCTTGCATGTGCCCTGATGCGTGCAGAACAAAGTGTCTGTGTCACTACCGACAGCGTGTTGCCATTTGTGGGATTTCCCTGTGCAGAAACCAGCATTTTTCCACGGAACAGCGACCGCATTTCACTGGCCACCAGAGTGCTTTTAGGCACCCCAGGATTGCAAAATACACACTAACACAAGATATTACTGAACAGGTACGTAAACATAAACTCAAAGGCTTTCTTTGATTTTAAGGCTTTAAGCATAAAACTACCAGGCCTCAGCTCAATCCACAAGCCAGGATTGGCCCTACAGGTTACCTTTCCAAAAATTAGGAAACAAAAAACAACATACCCCAGTCCAGTTTCTTCAAGATCCCACAGACGTGCAGGCCAAGAGGCGCAGGGAATACTCCCAGGAGAGCCCATGCCTGCCCTCAACCTGAAATATCATCCTAACTGGCCCATTCACATCAGAATAGTGGAGCGGGTGGTGGCCGCGACCCTTGCTCTGCCATTCTATCAGATCGCAGGTGATCGGGTCACGGTCTGACATTCACTTTCCTGCCTGCTCCCCCCCATCGTCCTCGGCGACCAGAAATCTCTCTTAAGTTGGCCCTGAATTTATACAACGGCCCAGCCA